ACCATATTCAATGGCTTACTCAATTGATTAGTTTTAGTTTGCCTAATCATCATGCATTGTCTACAACAATCAAGACTATCCTCCACCGATAGCCCAAAACAGTTATTTCTAAATAGAAAATAAATGCACCAAATGGATATATTATCGACATTCAACTTGGGTGAGCGATTGAATGAATCCAACTACACCCGTTAATCCCATAATCTTTTCAATTTGAATACTCTCAATTCAATTCCTCATTTCTCAAAATTAATTATACGAATTAATTTATCCAACTAATTAGGGTATTTTCCCATAATTAACATAACAACCCCAAGGTTCCCCTTTCATCTATAGTTTATCATCTATATCATTTCTCTATGCCAAACATGCATATAGGTTCAATTATAAATAAAACCCATCTTTTGTAAAATTACACAAAGACCCAAACTTTCTCAAAATTACCCAACAACCCCTAACATATCAAAATGCTAAAATTCAAAGACAAAGCTTATAAGGAGGAGTAAGATATCCCTACCTCGAAGTTAGAGCTCAAATGGAGAAGGAGAAGAAAACGAAAATGCTCCAAATACCAAGATTCTCGGATCAAAATGAAGCCCTCGATGATCAACACACTCTTTACAAAGGCCGAAGGATAGGGAGACACTCTAACTAGATCAAACCCTAGAGAGAAGGGAGATCCTAGAGAGAGAAGCTCTCAAAAAGTGTTTTTAGAAAGTAAGAGAGAGAAAGAGAGAATGTAAGAAGTGATTTTAAAACACCCAGCTGCCAACTGATATACGACATACCCGCTCGAGTTGATAACAGGACGCTCGAGCGTCAAGAACAGAAAATTGGATCCGCTCGAGCGTAAGAATTCCCGCTCGAGCTCCAAGACACAAAGACAAAGCACACTCGCTCGAGCGCGAAAGACTAGTCCGCTCGAGCGTAGATTTTCACCTCCTAGCACTTTCACCAACGAGGTACTACCCGATCGAGCGCCAACAAGACCGCTCGAGCGCAACCCGCTCGAGCGCAATAAACCCGCTCGAGAGTAGAAAACACACCTGTAGAAGTTTTGCAGGGACTCGAATTGCTGGAAGGGTGTAAACCCCGCTCGAGCGCAAAATGACCCGCTCGAGCGGACCACTCAAAAATTGGGCAACAACAATGGGAGCCAAAGCTCTACCAACCTGTAACAACGAAGCCCAACACATCCTAAAACTCAAACAAATGGATTTAAAGGACGACAACAAGATAGATACAACTACCAATTTCACGGAACCGAGTCTGAAATACAACTGAACAATAAAGAGACAACCGGGATCGCTATAGAAGACCTCCTGAAACTAATAGAAATAGGGGTGAAGTTCCTTATATCGGCCTAAGATCGTTTGTTGAAGTATTAAAAGGGGACACACCCACTGTTGTTGGGAAAGCAAGTTTGACCATAAAAGCCAATGATGTTGGTCATGGATGGCTCTGTGGTATGTAATAGTCTGGCTCAATACTGAATACTGTACTATTAACATTGAAAATGTCTTGAAGGAGAAAGGTTTGGATCATGTAATGGTCGAAAAAGGGGGAGGACGAGATATAGTATTACCCTTCAAATCTCAAGAGGAGCTGAAATCAAATATTTGCAATGTCAAACAATGGTTTAAGGAATGGAGTCTGTTTGTGGTGAAATGGAAGCCAGGATTTTATCTTGACCAAGAGAAATGTGTGTGGTTGAGGTGTTTTGGCATACCCTTAAATCTCTAGAATAGGGGCACACTCAACAACATTAGAAGTGTGTGGGGTACTGTTCTTAGCTTGGATCGAGATATTTGTCAACTAAAGTCCTTCTCCCATACCAGAATTAGAGTGGCTACATCTTGTTTGGAGATTATTAACAAAACTTTATTTTTGGAGTGCAAGGGTAAACTACATCCCATTCTTGTGTGTGAAGATCATTTAGCAGAGTTTTGTAGCAAGAAGCACCATTGCTTAGAAGAGTACAGCTCTAACAAAATTTGCGGTAGTGTTGTGGAAGGATCAATTCCAGAAGAGTGTTACAAGGAGAAGGAGGTAAAAAGTGTGATGGGCTCCAACAAAATCTGTGGTAGTGTTGTGGAAGGATCAATTCCAGAGGAGTGTTAGAAAGAGAAGGAGGTAAAAAGTGTGATGGAGGTAAACACAGTTGTTGAGGAGTCAAAGTGGGATGGAGGTTTGAGCAGAGAAGAGGAGGTATGTACCAAGGAGGTAGAACAGAGGACAGGGCCTAGTGATTGCCATTTGGAAGAGGTGGTAAACACAGTTGTAGAAGAGACCATGTTAGAGGAGCCAGTGCACAGACCAAAACTTAATGTTGAGCAAGTCTTTACACCTGGTTTTCTCAGAAGCTTCAGTGGATCTAGAGATGGAATTGGGCTTGATATCAATATTGAAGTGGATTTGGCCCAAGCACTTAGTAAGAATTTAAATGGGAAGGGATTTTTGAGCCTAAATCATTCAGGCTTATGTAGGCAACTTGCTTTTGTCCTAAAACTCCTGCCGAATGAGAAGAAGAAAAGGAAAGCAGATGGTTCAGCAAGAGGGGTTCACCATCTTTGCTAGACTTCATAGGCATAAAGTTGCAGCAGTCAGCAAGCACACTTCAAAGTTTGTCATCTTCAGATCAGCAGCAGCTGCGAAGCACGTTCAGATCTGTCTGAGAGTGTTACTAGTCCGAACAATATTCTCCTCAATGAAGCTAAAGCCACTATACAATTGGGAAAATCTCTTGGAATCAATTTCAATGGGACAGAAGATAATGTTCTGAACAAGATTATTGAGTTAGAGCTAAAAGACAAAAAGAAATCCAAATATGAGGGTTAGGTCTAAGAAGATATAGGATGGCAACAAGTAATCATAGGTGGAGGATTCAGTGGGTTCTAAACAACTGTTAAGCTTGTTTTTGGGTGGTAGCAACAAGTGTTTATGGTGTTGTGAGCTAGTGTTGGTTTTTCACCAACACTTTGCTTGGTTTCCTTTTTTTTCCTTTTTTCTTTCTCATCCTTATTGATTTATTCTCATATGTAATGTATGGTTTCTCCATCAATAAATATTTTATTTGCTGATCAAAATTCTTGTTTTAGGATCCTCACAAGATCATGGCATGTTAGTGAAAGAAAGGGAGTGGTTATAGCATTTCTGGTTTAGAACCGACCCATTTTGTATTTAAGAATCGGGTTTCATACCCTCATATGGTTGTTCATGTCTTTTCCCTCTTATTCTTCCTTAAATTTGGTTATGGAATTATGTTGGTCTTGTTTGGAACAGGTTGGTTGCTTGATTTTCGAATCTTCGGTGCCTAGATTTTTGTTCCTTCGCTCGAGCGGCACTTTTTGCGCTCGAGCGAGCTGCACTTTTTGCGCTCGAGCGAGCTTTGCAAATTCTCAATATTTTTCCAGACTTACAAAATAATGGAAGAATGTATTCTATGCTGGAGCGGCCAATCTTGAGCTCGAGCGATGTCTTTCGTCTGCAAAACTTCTGAAAGTGTGTATTTTGTGCTCGAGCGTCACTTCTTGTGCTCGAGCAGAACAATGTGTCTAGCGCTCGAGCGTCACTTTTTGCGCTCAAGCGGACTGCGTGTATATCAATTCATGAAGATGACTTTTTACTTCACTTTTTCATTTCTCCTTCTATCTAAAACTTTCCTAAAACCTAGATCTTCAGTCTCTCTCTCTCTAAAACACACCTTCTCTCTACATTTTTACCTAGATCCATTGGGTTCTTCACCCTAGTGCCTTTGAGAAAAAGTTAGAGCATTCCCATGGGTAGAATAGAGGCGCAGATTTGGGAATTGTATATTTTATATAAAAATTCAATTGAAATATTTTATACAATCACACCTATTTAGGGAGTGCGATTAAATATATATATAATTACACTTATTTAAAAAGTGTGATTAAAAAGTAGTAATGTATATATAATCACACTTTAATTAGGTGTGATTAAAAAATATATAAATAATCACACTTTAATTAGAATGTATAATTAAAAAATATATATATAATCACACTTATTTAAAAAGTGTGATTAAAAAATTGTAGTGTATATATAATCACACTTTAATTAGAAGGTGTGATTAAAAATATATATATATATATATAATCACACTTAATTGAAAAGTGACATAAAAAATAAATATTATCACTCAATCAAATTAAAGTGTGATTAAAATATCAATCCAATTTTTTTTATCATACTTCCAATAAAAGTGAGATCTTTTTTTTGTCAAAGTGTGATCTTTAACTATTTTTGTTGTAGTGGGCATTGATGAGGTCCCGACTGGAGCTAGTGGGGTACGGGTGGGGCTAAGGTTAGGTAGGGTTAGGGTTAGAGAGGATAGGCATTGGGTAAAGATGGAATTTATGTTAGGGTAAAATTGCAATAAAAAGGAAAGAAAAGAGGTGGGGTCCAAAGAATAAAGGTAGGGGTAGATAGCAACAATTTGAGTTGACTGGATGAAGATAAGAAATGAAATTTAATGAGCCCTAACTTTTGTCTTATATATAAAACGATCAGATGCATTCAAGTCCCACCTTCTTAGTTTTCCAAAAAAAAAAGAAAGAAATAAAGAAAGAAAGAAAAAATATCAAGTCCACCTTACTGTTTACAACAAATCAAATACATGAAGATACGTGAGTATAATTAGAATATTTTACAGTAGATATGGGTTTTGGTCCCAAGTTGGTTCGGTGTAGCCATTGACCTAAATGAAGACCCAATCCAATCCTATCAAGTTGATATTTTAAGATCGAAAACAAAACCAATGGATAGAAGGGAAAAGAAAAAAAAAAGAAAAAGAAAAAAACCGGGTTTTTGGGTATTTTGCGCACTCCTAGTATACAACTATTTGTGAGGGAAGGTCAAATAATTCAAGTTTTGCTTGATGACATTAAAAAAATTTCATGCCATTGCATAATGTTATATGAAAAGAAATTACAAGTGTAATTATTTAATTTTGTCAGACTAGCTGCGCTTGCTTTCAATGATGCCCACTTGTTAATAATATTTTTCCTCGTCGTTCTGTGGTGAAGTCAATTATTAATAATATCTCTAGAAATCCATTGACTACAACTTATAAAATTTGAAATCTTACCGAAAGTTAGTGGATCAATCGGTACGTTCGGTAGGCCAGCACCAAGCGCCCAGTTTGTGTCATGGTGTTGGTCTATCGGACGTACCGATTGATCCACTAGCTTCGGTAAGATTTGAAATTTTATATGTTGTAGTCAATGGGCTTCAAGTTATGGTGAACGGGTTGAAGTTGTATTTTTTAACAATTGCCTTTTCCAGAAGAAAATGGTGGAAAATATTATTTCAGAAGTAGCCATCATCCGAAGAAAGCAGAGATAGCTAGATCTACAAAATTAAATAATCGCACCTGTAGTTTCCTTCCATTTAACATTGTGCAATGACACAAATATTTTTGAATGACACGCAAAACATGAATTATTGCACCTCCCCTCACAACTTGTGGTTTACTAGATGGAAACAATTTTTTTTTTTTTTAACAGAATCTTTCTTTTTTTCTTTTCTCTAGAGGCAGGCGCAAATGCTGGCCCGCTCGTCGTGCCTGTTGGTCCCCCAGTGCCTGGTAAGAACTAATTTTTTTTTTAAGTTGTATTCAATTAGTTACAAGTTCTGAAATAATTGACTTAACCACAGAACAATGAGGAAAAATATTATTAACAAGTGGCCATCATTGAAAGCAAGCACACGTAGTTTGACAAAATTAAATAATTACACTTGTAATTTCTTTTCATATAACATTATGCAATGGCATGAAATTTTTTTAATGTCATCAAGCAAAACTTGAATTATTTGACCTTCCCTCACAAATAGTTGTATACTAGGAGTGCGCAAAATACCCAAAAACCCGGTTTTTTTTTTTTTTTTTTTCCCTTCTATACATTGGTTTTGTTTTCGATCTTAAAATATCAACTTGATAGGATTGGATTGAGTCTTCATTTAGGTCAATGGCTACACCGAACCAACTTGGGACCAAAACCCATATCTACTGTAAAATATTCTAATTATACTCACGTATCTTCATGTATTTGATTTGTTGTAAACAGTAAGGTGGACTTGATATTTTTTCTTTCTTTCTTTATTTCTTTCTTTTTTTTTTGGAAAACTAAGAAGGTGGGACTTGAATGCATCTGATCGTTTTATATATAAGACAAAAGTTAGGGCTCATTAAATTTCATTTCTTATCTTCATCCAGTCAACTCAAATTGTTGCTATCTACCCCTACCTTTATTCTTTGGACCCCACCTCTTTTCTTTCCTTTTTATTGCAATTTTACCCTAACATAAATTCCATCTTTACCCAATGCCTATCCTCTCTAACCCTAACCCTACCTAACCTTAGCCCCACCCGTACCCCACTAGCTCCAGTCGGGACCTCATCAATGCCCACTACAACAAAAATAGTTAAAGATCACACTTTGACAAAAAAAAAGATCTCACTTTTATTGGAAGTATGATAAAAAAAATTAGATTGATATTTTAATCACACTTTAATTTGATTGAGTGATAATATTTATTTTTTATGTCACTTTTCAATTAAGTGTGATTATATATATATATTTTTAATCACACCTTCTAATTAAAGTGTGATTATATATACACTACTATTTTTTAATCACACTTTTTAAATAAGTGTGATTATATATATATATTTTTTAATCACACCTAATTAAAGTGTGATTATATATACATTACTACTTTTTAATCACACTTTTTAAATAAGTGTAATTATATATATATTTAATCGCACTCCCTAAATAGGTGTGATTGTATAAAATATTTCAATTTAATTTTTATATAAAATTTACAATTCCCAAATCCGCGCCTCTATTCTACCCATGAATGACAAAGGACGACCAACTACTAGAAAAGAAGGCTTTAGACATGGAACTTTTTTCAACAGTTTGAAAATCGTCGCAAAAAGCAATATTTTGTGACGGCAAAAAAAATCGTCGCGAAATTAATTTTTTTGTGGTGGCATTTGACTGTCGCAAAAAAGGCATCGACTAAATACCATTATTAGAGACAGAAAATCCAAAGCCGTGACAAAAAGTAATATTATACACGACGGTACATTACCTGTCTTTTTTTTTTTTTTTGCAGCGCCTTTTGTTAATCCGTTGCAAAAGATTTTATTTTTCTCATTAATGATGGTCCTTAAACTCGTCGCAAAAACTTAATCCCTAATTACCTTCGCGCCCTCCCCCACCCCCTTACTTTTTCTTGCTCATCCCTATACTTTTAGACTTCTCTTCGGATTTTTTTTTTTTAAAAAAAAAACTACCAGTTTTATTGGTGATCATATTTGGTTTAATTTTCTGAAACTTGTTTAAGATTTTTTTAAAAAGACTAAAAATTAGTTTCGTGAAAAAATTAAAAATATTTATCAATTTTATATAACTTTACAAAGGATATGAGCAATTTTTAAAAATCAAAAAATCGATCCCTATATATAAAGCATGAATGCTGGGTGTTGAAATCCTAAAATGACGTCATTTTGAGCCATAACTCTGAACAAAACCCTTTCACTTTCTCTCTATCGCACTATCTGTGTGTGTGTGTGTCATGTCTCTGCAAAAACTCTTCAAACCCCTACCCTCTCTCCATCAGACCCCAAATCCCAAACCCTCCTCTCTCTCTTTTGCAAAAACTCCTCAAAACCCTCTCTCCCTCTCTCTCTCCATCAGACCCCAAATCCAAAACCCAAACCCTAACTGGCATAACAATGAGTGAGAAGGAGAAGATGGACAAAGAAAATACACACAGACAGAGCTCTGAACCAGAAGAAAAGAACAAAGAAAGAGAAGTAACGACGGAGAGAGAAGACGGCCGAAAGGAGACGGAAGAGACGAATGCACGCAAAGAACACTTCCACCCTTCAACCAGGTTTGTAGATTCAAACTAGGGTTTTGATTTGGGGATTTTCACTAAAAAATCAAGGTTTTGATTGAACAATTCCAAAATTATGTAAAATTAGTGAACCTTAAGGAACTCTAGTTTCTTGAATTAATTCTGAAAGCATGTGATTATATTGTTTTAGATTGTGAATTTTTCTCTTTTTTTATAAACTTCTTGAATCTGAGTTGGGAAAAATATCTTCAATGTCAATTGCTTATTGTGAAATTGGGTTCTTTAATGGGTTGAACACAAATTTTTTTTTATTTTTTTTTAA